ATCTGTGCTAATATGGTAGCCACTATGTCATAGAGACGTTTAATTTTAAACTTAAATAAAAATTAAAAGTGAGTTCTTCAGTCACGTGTGTGTGTGTGTGTGTGTAGAAAAAGGAAAGAGTATTGTTATATGTTATTAATATATATAAAATGGATCAGACATTTTTATGTTCTTCTTTTCTTATTTAGAATTAAAGCTAATAGGAACCTACCAATTCTTAGATTAGATGTAAAAAATTAAGATGTTGACCAAGTACAGCTCCTCCCCCACTCTTAGTGCTATAACACACAGTAGGCTCACAGGACATGTTTGTTAAATTAGGTTGAGACGTTTGCAAGGAACTGCTTCAGGTTTTTTAAAAGGTATTTCCCTGAGATTTTTGGTAGAAAACATTTTGAAAGGTCAGTATGGGCCCTGGCCAGTGTGACTCAGTTGTCTCTACACCAAAAGGTCACAGGTTCGATCCCTGGTCAGGGTGCATATGAGGCAACTGATCAATGTTTATGTCATATCAATGTTTCCCTCTCCTTCCCCTCTCTCCTTCTCTCTCTAAAATCAATAAAAACATATCCTTGGGTGGACTTAAAAAGGAAAATAAAGAGATCAATGTGGAACAATAGCTGTTTTTGTACTTTTAGGACAGTCAGAATGTTTGCCTTTGAACTCATTTATAAATTGGATTTTTTTTCTTTAAGATAAAGGCTGTTACAGGATATTATTTTTTGTCTTCCAAAGTTTAAACAAATGATAATTTGTGGTTTTATTAGAATGTATTAATGAATACTTTCTTACATTATTCTGTGACCTAGTCTTTAGACATAAAGTAGAATAACTGCCTGTCTGCTAATTTTGAAACTAATCAATTAACCACTGTATTGTGTAGTTTGGTCACATTCAACCTTAATTATTTTTTTAAACAGCTATTTTTCCTTAGGTCACTTGCAAGCTAGAGAATAGTTTCTGGCAAGAAGTAAAACGTTTTTTAATATTTGTACTAAGCAAAATACATTCCTTTAAAATAACGCGTAATGTAAAAAGCCAGTTTCAAAATGATTCCATGTATTTTTAACATTCATGAAGTAACTAATAATTATATAGAGAGAGAACAGATTAGTGGTTGCTAGGGATTAGGGATGGGAGAGGAGAGGCGGGTGTGGCTATAAAAGGGTAGCACAAAGGAATATTGTAGTGATAGTACAGTTAATTATCTTGATTGCTGTGGTAGTTACAAGAAGCTACCTGTGTCATAAAATAGCTCGGGGCTGTACATATACACACAGGAAATAACTGGTGAAATATGAATAAGCTTTGTGGTTTGTACCAAAGTCTGTTTCCTGGTATTGATACTGTACTCCAGTTATGTAAGATGTTAACAAATTGGGGGAGACTGGGGGAAGGACTTCCCTATACATTTCTTTACAACTTTCTGTGAATTTATAATTATTTCAAAATAAAGTTTAAAAAAATATACTTCTTTAACAAGAACTCCCACTCCACACCAAGGCATTTATTAAAGGCAGATGTTCATTCAGTTGACCTTTCCTTGCTATCAAGTCCCACCATCCAGTTATTACTAGAGCAGCACAGCATAGAACTCCCTCAAAGAAGAGTTCTTTCTAATCTACTTATGCCTTGGGGCAACATATTTTATAAGTAGTTTGTAGTAATACCACTATTGGTTCTGGAAAACCCATTTCTGGCTATGCCACAGTTCCCATAGCTATGAAGGATTCAGATGTATGCATGCTCCATTTTCCTTTCTATTGCTGTGCTGAATATGAAACCATAAGGAACCCTAACCCACAGAAGAGGACATGTACAGCCTGTTAAATATTTAACAGAATAGATTTTCCTGTTTCCATAGATGCCAATTGAATCATACCGTACAACTTCAAATAAATACCAATCATGTATTTTATTACGCACACTGATAAATATACTATAAAGTAGAACATAGTTTACATGCTTTTCTGGTAAACACTGGTTTGGCTATAATACTCCAAGGAAAAAAAACTTAAAACTATTATTTTCCATAATTTAATTTTAATTTGTGTAAATATAAGCGTTTCTTCAAGTGTTAATGTTCTTAACCTTTCTTGAGCACTTTGAGCCAGATACTTGCTAAACACTTAAAAATATATCATTTAATCCTCAGAACAACTTTGTGAGGTAGTTACTGTTATATAGATGAGTAACATACCTGAAGTAACACAGCTAGTAAGAGAGTGAACAGACAGAAAGTCAGATTCCGGAGACTTCACTAGTGATCATTATTTTGTACTTCCTCCTTAAACCATACAGTATAGGACAGCTAAGGTTAGAGGCTGATATGTTGGCACTTTTTATTTTATTCCAAGGGCAACTATATGAAATCTATTTAATCTCTTGGTGAGTTCTTTAAGATGAAGATGTGATTTTGTCATTTTTATCTTCTCTCACATATCCTTTTTTATTAAAAGTTGAGTTTTAAAATTTGTACTGAATTTTAATTTAAAATTTATACACAATCTTAATTTAAGGATAGCTCTAAAAACTTGGAAAGACTTGACCTTTAAAATATAAAATCTTACCCTGCCTTTTCAAAAATTTACTGATTATTTTTATCTCAAGTATGGATCTAGACAAGAGTTTCTTATGTAGATGATTTTAAAATACCATTTAATACATGTATTGGTTTTTATGTAGGATCAATCCTATAGAAACAACTAAAAGTTTTATTGCTATTTTTAACTTTTTGTGTGTATGTGTTTAAACAAGTTGTTGGCATTGTAGTTATCTCCTTTAATTGTCATTGTCAGAGTTCCTTTAGTTAGAAAATTGAGAATTAATGAGCTTCAAAAGGAGATAATCCTCCCTGAATTTTTCAGCTTAGGTTCAGAGTCACCTCTTTATCCACTGATGCTATTGGAACTCCAGGGATCTAAGTCTCTGATTAGGATATGTAAAATTACTGTACTCCCTCTATTATGTACTCACCCTGTAAGAAATAACTTCTAATTTTTTTTCAAAGATGAGATTTATCATTCTTAACAGCTGTAACCATGGAAACAAAGCCTCTTGAGATGTCTCAGAGTACATATACTTTATATTGGAGAGTCCCTTCCCAGTCTGTTTAGTCTATACTATATAAAACTAAAAAGTCATTGCTTTGTGGTTTATTTTTTCAAGTTCAGTAGTTTAGGTTGAAGCAACCAGTTTTAAAGTGACAGCAGGTGAACTGTGACAGACTGGAGGAGAGATGGGCAAAATAATAAAAGAAGTCAAATTCCAGCATTTGGAGACTTTTTCTTCCAGTCAATCCTGAATCAGTGATCAAAAAAAGTTTATATTTAACTTGTACTAATTGGAAGGACATAAAAGTACATTGAGAAGAATTTCATGAGATGTTTATTAGCATATTTAATATTTTAATGTTAAAAATTGATACTTTAGTGAAAATGTGTTGTATCACATAATGAAAATTTTTATTTATTGAATAATACATGTAATACATAAGTAATTCACTTAGCATAGCACCTGGCTCCATGTTAGGTACTATTGTTTTGTTACCAACATCTCTTCCTCTAGTCAGTCAGTCTGCTATCTAAAGTGTCCTTAGTTCTTTGCCTATATATATATTTTTTATCCTCACCCAAGAACATGCTTAGAGAGAGGAGGGAGGGGGGAGAGAGAGAAACATGGATGTGAGAAACATCAGTTGGTTGCCTTCTGTATGTGCCTTGACTGGCATTCGAACCAGCAGCCTTTTGATGCACAGGATAATGTTCAACCAACCGAGCCACTCTGGCCAGGCTGCCTTTGCACTTCTTTTAAATTAGTGAGTGTTCTGTTACTTGTATGACCTTTGTGTATTAACTTTGTCTCCATGGTCATAGGGGAACTAGAATTAGGTTTTTTATTTTGTTCTCTTTATTGCCATGGAAAACAAGCAAAGTTAATACTATACAGCTGAAAACAGCAAATGCCAATAGTCTAGAGAACTATAGTCCTAGGGATGAGGCTTATATTTTTAATTAAAAATAAATTTATTAGTAACTTTATTTTTTTTAAGATAATTTACACACCATAACATTCACCCTGTTAAAGCGTACATTTTAGTGTTGGTTAGTACGTTTAATCAGTATGTTTAACAAAGCCTTATGCTTTTAAGGAAACAGTTTTACTTAAGTATGCTAATTATATTTCTTTTCTTAGCTGTAAGTCTTTACTTTTGTCCATGCAACTACTATTTCCTACTCCTCTTGCCTTCTCTTAAATTCTTTTTGATTCAGGTTAATGTCATATCTCTTTAGAGAAGGCTTTCTTGATCCTCATACATTTTGTTTCCCTTTGCTCCCACAGCCCTTTTTTTAATCCCTTTATTATATTGCTTATCACATTTATATTATAATTATCTTTTTGGTTATTTGTCTTCTCTTTCAGACCATTTATCTCTCAAGGACAAAGACTATTCTTGTTTTTCTGATATCTTTAGGAGCTAGAACAGTGCCAGATATGGTAGGCATTTCAGTACATATTTATTGAATGATTATAACTTCAGATAGTTTTGGCTACCCATAAGCCGTAAGCATATACTAAAAGCTTGATATACTATATTTAATGGTGATATTAAAATAATGTGTTTTTTGTTGCTGGGAATGATACCACTTAGTGTTGGAAGGGACCAATCCACCCCCACCTAATACATGCACACTCATACATGTTCACATGAACACACAAAGCAAATTGAAATCCATACAAGTTGAATGACTTGGTGAAGTTGAAGCTAGGACTGAAAAACCCATTACCACATTTTGTCCTGTACTGTTCTGTTTCTTTCTCTTGCACCTTATAGCCTAATATGATGAGTTGCAATGAAAATTCATTTGTTTCCAAAAGACCTTGATAATGTTAATTCATAAGGTTATCTTTCTATTTTTAAACATAAGTAAGGAACCAGTTGCCAATCAGAATTTTGGAAAAGAAGTATTAAACAATGACAACATTTTTCTGTGTTCTAGACCTCCGTGAGTGAAAGCCTGCAGAGGGAAGCTGCTAAAAAGCAAGCAATGAAACAGGTAAGGTAGAAGATTGAGTTAAATACATTTGGTGAAGTACATATTTCAGCTTACATTTTTAAGTATCAGTTTTGGTATCTAGGTACTGAGACAAAAGTATGTAGAACGACATAATTTTATCTTGACCCTTGTTTTTGAAAATATGTTAAGATGTTTCTTGATTTCCATAAATTTCTGGGGTTTATAAATTTTAAAGGAACAAACAGAGTGAAGAGTTAACTCTTTATTGCTGTGTTGTAGATTAAGCCTATTTCTGCTTTCAGATGACTCAGCAGTCTAAAAATGGATTATATGGTTTAATAATTCCTGCTAGTGAGCTTACTTGCCAAAAAAAATTTCTTCACAAACAGAGTGATTTCACAACTTTATAACATTTGAAATTCATCTACCAAGAAAGGGGAATATGAGATCATTTCTGGTAGTCTTGCTAGCACCATTATTTATATATAATGCTGTATATATTTCCAAGCATTTTTTTATATACATATATTATTTTACAAATTCTCACAAACCTCTTCATGGCCCTGATTAAGAAATCTGAAATTTCAAAAGGATAAATTACCCCTCTTGATCATATAGTTAGTTACAGAAATAAGCCTGAAGGCTTACTAATTTTTCTCCTGCTACACCAGTGTATCTTAGATTTAGCTCTTGCAGAACAGAATGAAATTAAACAATGATAAAGTACCTTTTTTTTCTACTTTAATTCTTTCTGCCTTCACATTTTCTGTAATTTTTGGCACCTATTTCTCCTGTGTCTAAGTAGAATCTAACTTAAGGATAAAGTTGTTAAGCACTTTCTGTGTGCTAGACATTATAGCATAAATTACTTTCTAAGAATTATCCTTAATTCTTACAATTCTATAAGATAGATGCTTTTATAATCACCATTTTGTAGCTCACGAAATGAAGGCAAAAATAACTTCTGTGACTTTCATGAGGTCTCATATTTAAAGGGTCGAGATGTGTTCCAACACAGGCAGTGAAAATGCGGAGCCCACCCTTTTAGGCACTGTGTTTTCCAGCTTCCCTGGGGAATAGGCACAGAATTAGATATTTAGTTATTATTTTTAAGATTATATCTTAGTTTCATAGTGGGGTATAATGTATAACTCAGCAGCCTCAAAATGATTGAATACACACATAAAATCATAAAAAACCTGATTCTTTAACATAAATGATTGGTTTGAATCCAAATTTTAGAGTTCAGTAGAATTTGAGAGAGACCATGAAGTCAACTTCTTTACTATATAGATAGGAGAATTAGTTCCAGAGTGTGGTAACTTCTCCAAGGTCATGTAGGTTTCTTGTTTTTTAGTGTTCTTTTGACATTTTTGTTCTGTCTTTTCTTTTCCCATTTTTTTAAATCCTCACCCAAAATATTTTTTCCATTGCTTTTCAGAGAGTGGAAGGATGAGAGAGAGAGGAAAAAAACAAAAACATCAATGTGAGAGAGACACATTGATTGGCACACGTGCCCCGACTGGGGCCAGGGATCAAGCCTGCAACCAAGGTACATGCCCTTGGTCGGAATCTAACCGACACTCTAACCACTGAGCCAAACCAGCTAGGGCAAGACTGTAGACTTTTTAGTCACAGGTGTTTAGGGAAATCCCTCTCCCCTCCCTCTCCCTTCTTTCCACTCTCTAAAAAGCAATGGAAAAAGTATCTTCAGGTAAGGATTTAAAAAAATAAATAAATATAGTTACAGGGATGTGAAGCATAGCATAAGGACTATAGCCAATAATAATATGATAACTATGTATGATGCCAGATGGGTACTAGACTTCCTGGGCTAATCACTTCATAAGGGCTATAAATGTCTAATCGCTATATTGTACACCTGAAACTAATATATTACTATATATCAATTGTAATTAAAAAATAACTTTTTAAAAAAAAAAAATAAGGATTGAGCTGGCCCTGAAGCTCTAGGTAAGATTTTGATGGCCTGAAAGCAGGAGGAACAGCATTTAAGGTAGAGGGAATATGATGAACCAGAGGCTGAGGATTTTATATTGCAAAAATATTAATTCAAAAATATCCCCATTTTTTTGTTATGTTGGAAGCTTTTTAAAAAGTATTTCCTACCATTTGAAAACATTTTATTTGGTAACTCAACTAAAAATCATATGAAAATACTATATAGGCATCTAAAACCAAGGTTAGATGTTTCTAAGTCAGACCTTGGACCTTTTGACCTGTGGATGTGGATAATTTTAATTATGTGCGAATGAGTAAATAATAGTTAATATTATTGAGCACTTATTCTCTGTGATGCTCCATTCTGTCTTAAAGTTTATTAAGTTATTTAATTATCACAACTTTGAAAATAGATATAATTCTCATTTTTTTTATATGGGGAAAACAGACACAAAGTGATGAAACAAAACTTGCCCAAAGTAGCTAGTAAATATAGAGCCAGTATTCAAACTCAGGCAGCCAGGCTCCAGAATTGATGTTTACATTTTTTTGTCTTAAAATATGATTGATATAATTTTTATGATATATTTCTGACTTATGATTCTGCCTCAGGAAAATTACTTAGACTTTTTTGTGCTGTTAGCTAGTTCATATTTCTAAAACATCTTTAATTTTTTTTTTTTTTAAGACCAAACTGGAAATCCAAAAGGCCCTTGCAGAAGATTCCACTGTATATGAATATGACAGTATTTATGATGAGATGCAGAAAAAAAAGGAAGAAAGTAATCCTAAATTGCTTTTGGGAAAAGACCGAAAGGTTTGTGATTGAAAATACAATCTTTCTTTGACCTTGACCCGCATTGTGAATCTTATTTCAGCATGAAGATGAACTGAGAAAAAGCTTTTAGGCATATGAAGTGTGAAGTGCCCCTAGTTCCAGATATTATAGATTTGATTTAGAACCCAGGAAGCCCTACATTTAGTATTCCAATAGGAGCAAGTAAATTATCTAACAATTTTATAAATTTTCATTTTTGCTTTAAAACCATTCCAAATTATTTTTTGAAATATTTTTCTTAGAAAGTTTTTGTTCTGCTCTTGTCCATGTTTATTTGTATTTTATCATCCTCTCATTTTTTTATTGCTTCCTACCTGATAACTGAATCATCTGCACATATCATGATTTTTAGTTAGAAAAAAATTAATGGGAGGAATTAAAATAAGTTCAGATTTTCTGTCTTATTCTTTCACAAGCACAGACTGATTTTTAAGGATCTTTGCATCTTTTAGTATCTACAAATTGGTAAAAATTTATATTAAAGCTACTATTTTAAATAATTATATTACAACTATTGTGGAAAAAATAGTAGGGACCTTTATGATTCATGTATCTATTGAAGAAATAAGACCAATACCAGTAAAAAGGGTGACAAAAACAGTAGAAAAATTACTCATTTTGTTTGAGATTTTAAAAAATGATAAAAAAGCACTTTGAATATTTTTTATCTTACATTTTTACTGAGAAGAATTTTAGTTTCAATCTTGCTAATAAATTTATATTGATTTTTGGAGGGACAATGACAAGCCTACCTATTTGGACTAGAATTTCTTTCTTAATGAATTCATGATAAAAAATAGAGTATTTACAATTATTATCTTTGACTCTTTTCTAAATAATCTTATTTTTCCCCCTAGCCCAAGTATATTCACAACTTACTAAAAGCAGTTGAGATCAGAAAAAAGGAACAGGAAAAAAGAATGGAGAAGAAAATACAGAGAGAACGAGAAATGGAAAAGGGAGAATTTGATGATAAAGAGGCATTTGTGACATCTGCTTACAAGAAAAAACTGCAAGAGAGAGCTGAAGAGGAGGAAAGAGAGAAGAGGGCTGCTGCGCTCGAAGGTGAAATGGCAGAGGGAGATGGTAGAAGGAAACAGAAGCAGCAGAATTCTGCCCTGTGGTTAGCTATTTGTTCTGTCATTGAACTTTTAGATTAAAATGTGGTCATAATTTATGTATAGGAATTGAAGGTACAAGTTATGGTATTTATGTTGTATTATAAAACAGAGAGGAGATTTTTTACTAAAAATAGTTGTGCTCTTAGTAACTAGTACTTCTGCTGGACTTTTCATTTATATCTTGTTTTATTGCTTAAAACTGTGGTCATTACAAGTCATTACCTTGGAAGATGATTCCAAATGTAAAAACATTGATTACAAGGCATAATACCAAGACACTTAGAGAAGCAGTATTAGCTGAGATTTAAATCCTAGTTATATTTTCTGGAATGAGCAAACTAGAATAACATCACCCAAGGAGCATCAGCTGGGCATTTAGAAAAAGAATAACATTAATTCAAGAAAGAACAAAGATGTGCAAAGGCCAAAGTCATAGTGCTCTGCTTTAGTGTTTCCTCCTCATGGTCATTTCTCAAGATTTGAGTGAAAAATCTACATATAAATAGCTTAATTGGCACGTGCTCATCAACTTTAAGTAGAAGAAAACCAATATGTAAGACTTGGTGTATGCATGTACCATGTATTCATCTAGAGCACCAGTCAGCAAACTTTGTGGGAAGGACCAGATAATCTCTACCATATGATCTGTACCATGTGATCTCTTTGCAACTATTCAGCTCTACCTTTGTAACACAGAAGCAGCCCTAGACAATACATAAACAAATGAACAGGGCTACATTCCAATAAAAATTTATTTACAAAAGCAGCAGGCCAAATTTGGTTTATAGCTATAGTTTGCCAACTCTTAATCTGGAGAATAGTTTATACACAGTGTATGTCATATACTCTATGTCTGTAAAACTGAACTGCATTTTTGTTGTGTTGAATATATTCTCACTTTGCTTACCCTCTCTTAGCACGTTTGGATGTAACCAAGCAGAAAGATCTCAGTGGATTTTATAGGCATCTATTAAATCAAGCAGTTGGTGAAGAGGAAGTCCCTACGTGCAGCTTTCGTGAAGCTAGGTGAGACGTGGCATATGGAATATTTAGAAGAAAGATACTGTTCATCATCTGTGGTTGTGGATCATTTGAGTCCTCTGAAAGACAGAGGATTACAGCATTGCAGATTGTTTTGTCAGCCAAACCTGACCTAATTGAATGAATGGCTAGGAATTCACAGTTTCTTAATTTAAAAACCTGCAGATTTAGGTCAAGATTGTCTTTATTCTGCAATAATTCTATGTGCATGTTTAGGTAGTTTATAAAAAGAGATGTGATTTATTTTTATAAATAGGACCTAGCCTCCATAAAATGTAAGATTCACATATTAAGGGCTAGAAATGCACTATCCAGTATAGCCACTAGTTACGTATGGCTGTTTAATATTACATTTAAAATTTTGGTCACAACAGCTACATTTCAGGTACTCAGTTGCCACATTTGGCTAGTGGCTACCGTATTAGTACAGATATGAACATTACCACTTATGTAGACGTTTCTATTAGTACTGGTCTAGAAAATAAGGATTAGAGGATTTTTTAATAAAATTATAAAGTATTAAATAGGAATGGTGAAATGATTATGCCATAAGTATATAGCTGAAGGTAAAAGGGAGATTAGTCCTAAACTTGTATTTAAGTAAACTTTTTGGGAATAGAAACATTCAGATAAGAGGACCTGAGTTTTGTGTTGCTGGGGAAAGAGGAGAGGCAGGAAAATGGGATTAAAGATTAAGAGAGGAAATTAGGTTTTTCCTTGCCACCCCTCATCTCCTAGGTTTTGATTTAAAAATTGATGAGACTTATGAATCTAAGAAGGTATATTTGAACATTGGAGATTTTTAGACAGAAAATTAGAGTTTCTATTAGAATTTGATCTAGAATAGTTGTGAGGCCAACCATGAAACTCCAGAATGTCACTTAATAGCTATATTTCTCAGTCTGTTATAATAGAGTTCCTAATTATTGGTGAATACTTTAAGATAGTTGTACTAGCAATTCCTGGAGAACCATAGTTGTTGCTCTATCCGTATGATTAATAAGTGATAATGAATGTGTGAGTAATGTAAGTAAATTAATCCCACTTATCAGCTGGGAAAATGTAGATGATGTAAACAGTTATAGTGTTGCTGATTATAGTGGTTGGATGGATTCACATATTTCTATTTTGCTGTGATAGGTGCCAAGGAGTATATCAGGATGTTGGTGCTGCTTTAATCTTAAGAGGTTTATTTAGTGATATTTCAAATTAGATTTTGCCACCATTTGCTATGAAAAAATTTATCTATTTCCAGGACTCTGCTTAATTTTTATAAAAATAAAAATCCAACACAGAGCCATAGCTTGAATTTCATACTGTGAAAATACTACTAACATCAGAATATATCTTTCTTTTCCTAATTATTCTTTGTCTATGCTTAGCAAAAATGAAGACATGGCACAGACCCCTACCTGAAGGTTCTGGTGGTCCATTACAGAAGGACTTATTTTTTTTTCCACTTCTACCAATATTGAAAATACTCTGAATGTTTAGAAAATGCTAGTTTGCACATGTTTATAAGGTAAAAAGACATCAGCACCTTTTTACATTTGGCTAATCAGAAAGCACATATAATTGTAGTTTTATTGATTTAAATATTGAGAAAAATTATATGGACACTTCATTTGCTTAGTGTAAATGATAATGTGGCATTTAGTGTTGTATTGTTTTTTTAAAGGTCTGGGATAAAGGAAGAGAAATCAAGGGGTTACTCTGATGAAGTACATTCGGAGAACAGAATACCACATGAGCAATGCATTCGCCAAACTGTTGTGAAAGTAGAAGAAAACCCAGATGCAGACAGTGACTTTGATGCTAACAACAGTGAGGATGATGAACTGGAAGAAAAGAATAAAGTGAACTGCAGAAGGGAGAAGAGCATAGAGACTTCTGGGAATGACTCTAGGCATCACAGGAATCAAACCCACTCACGGTCATCTAGTGAAGAAAGAGAACATGGTACCAAACGCCACACAAAGAGTTCCAAGTCAAGAGGACACGAGAAAAGGGAAGATCAGCACCAAGAGAGACAGTCCAGGGACCAGGAGAACTATCACACTGACCGTGATTACCGAAAAGAAAAGAAAGATTCCCATAGGCACAGAGAGGCCGGTCACAGAGACTCCCACTGGAAGAGGCATGAACAAGAAGATAAGCTGAGGGGAAGGGACCAAAGAGAGAGAAGTGACAGAGAATGGAAAAGGGAGAAAGACAGAGAGAAATACCCCACAAGGGAACAGGAGAGAGAGAGACAGAGAAACGATCATGACCGACACAGTGAGAAAGGAGGGGACAAGGACGAGAAAGGCAAAGAGAAAGAACATTCGAAAGCAGGGAAGGAAAAACTTGAAAACAGAGAGAGAGAAAAGCGAGAAATGAGTGTCCAGTCTTCAGAGAGAAAGCGAGACAGAAAGGAAGGCAGCCCGAGTTCTAGGGCGAAGGGTAGGTTTCTCGACCAGGAGAGATCCAGTAAAATGAGAAACACGGGGAAGGACAAAGAAAGAAGCGCAGAGGAACCCTCTAGTCCTGAAGCATCGCTGGGAGCAAAACACCGAGTCTCAGAGGAATGCCAGGCGGCGGGGAAAGAGCAAGAGCAGCCCCACGAGGCAGGGAACAAGTTTGCAAAACGGAACAGTGAAGAAACTGTAATGTCGGCTAGAGACAGGTACCTGGCCAGGCAGATGGCACGGGTTAATGCAAAGACATATATTGAGAAAGAAGAGGATTGACTTTCTGGAACATGCTGTGTGAACACATAAAGGAGGGTGTTAACAGTGGTAAAATATGTTTTCAAAATTCATTTTTGGTTTAGTGTTAATTCAAAAGTCAGTCCTTTTATCTTGAATGTCTGACTGAATCGATATATAACATTTATTTATCAATGCCACATTCTTAGTTGTATTCAGGCAACCTAAAGAGTGTGCTAAATCCCAGTAGGTACTTTATGAGGAAAATTAGCTCCACTGTAATCATTAAAACATAATTTAAACAACTCTCCCAATGTTGGTTTTGTTGCAGGAACTGTTTATTTTATAAATACTGTGTTTCAGATAAAATTAAGTGGATTTGAACATAGAGAATATTGTTATACTTTATGTTTTGAAATTTGTATTAAAGTATAAAATATGGATAGATATACATCTTGTCTAACTTTTTAGCTCAAGCATACCTGGCTTAAATGAAAATAAAAATAGTGATATGTTTGTACTTTTAATTCATGCTTCTATTTTTTAAAAGACATCTTTTTAACACACTGTATGCGGGAAACGTATTTATACGTTTTACATTGACTGGTGGTAGAGCGCGCAATAAAAACTACCTGCAAACAATGTGTTAAAATGTTTTTTATTGATTTCAGAGAGAGGAAGGGTACGAGGGAGAGAGAAACATCAATGACGAGAGTCATTGATCAGCTGCCTCCTGCACGCCCCTTACTGGGGATCGAGCCCAAAACCTTAGCATGTGCCCTGACCGGGAACCTCCTGGTTCATGGGTCGACCCTCAACCACTGGGCTCTTATTTTTATTTTTTAATCTTCACCTGAGGGTATTTTTTTAAAGCTTTTCAGAGAGAGTGGAAGGGAGAGAAACATAGATGTGAGAGAGACATCAATTGGTTGCCTCCTGCACTCATCCTGACCAGAGCCAGGGATCAAGCTTGCAACTGGCGTACGTATAATTCCTCTGCTGGAATTGAACCCGGGACCCATTAGTCTGCAGGCCAGCACTCTACCCACTGACCCAGACTGGCTAGGGCCCATGCTCTTATTTTAAGAGTAATGTCATTTATGCCACAATTCCTCTTTCCCCCCCCCCAATAAAAATCATTTTTATTTAATTCTGTGACCCTCACAAGTTAGTAAGATGGTTGTGTACATAAATCAGTTTTAACTAAGTGTGAAAAGATGGAGACATTTAGCCTAAGTGAAATTAGGGATGGTAAAAAAGTAAAGAGGATCAGTTTACACTAATAGTTACAATTATTGCCTAAAAGAGCTAACATTTTCTTACGGAACAGAATGAAGGAGGGGATTAGCGGGATTAGCAGTATAGTGAGGTGGGCAGAGTTTAGACAAAGCATTTTCCAGGGCAGAAACTTCAGTATTAAAGTTTATTTCTAAACTGTTTTTCTAAAATCCACAATCTTTTTTCCTAACTATTCCTTTGATCTTTAAGGCTTTGTCTTAACACAATTCACAAAAATCTAACACATCTGGCACATAGCCACCAATTTGCTGGATGCATCAAAATATATTTCATGTCACTTATCTAGCCTGGTTTCCCTCCATCGTACGTATGACTCATGTCATACAATTGCCAAAAGCAAAAAACTCTTCCATACCTGTGGAAAGAGCAGCCAGATAGGATTGAGAAGACAAGAGATCAAGTCCTTTCTCAGCTACTACCAAACTAAGTACCCTTAGATGGTCATTCACCTTGACTGGCCCCATCTCCTCCTGGGCAGTAGTAATGTAACTATGATGACAAATACTAACATGTACGGTGTGCTTACTGTCAGGCATTACATGCATAATTTCCAGCAATCCTCAAAGCAGTCTTATGAAAGAGACACTTATAATCCCCATTTTACAAATAAGGAAAAAATAAAGCTTAGAGAATTTAAGTAATTTGCCAAAGATTACGCAGCAAGTGGTAGACCCAAGACTTCGAAGTCTCAGCTCAAACATGTCAGAGTGCCTTAAAAACACTTTAAGGGAGAAAAACAAGATGGTGGCGTAGGTCACAGCTGCACCCGCGCCTCCACAACCACATCAAAATTACAACTAAAATACAGAACCACCAGCACTCAGAGCCTCCTGAGATCTGGCTGAACAGAAGCCCCACAACCAGGGAGCTGAAGAAGCATCGAGACCAGGAGGAGGGGCAGAGACGCGGGCGGATCGGGGCTGAATTGCAGAGACGCGGCCGCAGGCCCACACCCGGTGCCCAGGTTGAAACCTGGAGGAGTGAGGGGTCCCAGCCCCACAGCAGGCCCCCAGCCCAGGGCTCCAGGGCCGGGAGAGACGGCCCCACAACTCCGGCTGTGAAACCAGCAGGGACTGTCCCTGAGGGTCTCGGAGGCTGCGGGAGCCCCAGCAGCTCCTCTTAAAGGGCCGGTGCACGGACTCACTCAGACACGCTCCCTCAGAGCCCAGCGCCGGGCAGCAGCCTGAAAGGACCTGGGACACTCGGGGAGGAACTAACCTGCCTGAGATCCGGGCGAGAGGCGGAGGGCGGCTTCCTCCCAGGCAGAAGGGCTGGCAGAGGCCATGGCTCCTGTGACCAGTCTTCCCCGCACACATGGCAGGCAGGCGCCATATTTGAACCGCCAGCACCTGACTCGCACCGTTGGACCCGCCCCGTGATTCCCGGAGGCCCCGCCCCTCCCCACCTGCAGCTCATCCAGGCCATTTCCAGGGGCTTTTCTGTGCAAGTGGCCTCTCAAGCCTCATGCTTAGGACTTTCCTAAAATCTCTCAAACAAGCAGCAGTGGGCCCCATAGGGCTTGATAAGCGGCCCCAGGCCTGGCACCAGTGGCAGCTGCATTGGCTCATGGCTTGGCCTCTCCTGG